CTTCCTGTGCCTGTGGGCTTCCTCACAACATGGCGACTGCTCTTCAGGATGCACATCCCAGGGCCTTCCTGTGCCTGTGGGCTTCCTCACAGCATGGCAGCTGCTCTTCAGGATGCACATCTCAGAGCCTCGCACAAACCCTCCAACAAAGCCAGCATCATCTGTATCTCCACCAGGACTCCAAAAAGCATTCTCTCACCTCAAATGTGATCTATAACTATTACCCCCTGCAGCCCCCACAGTCTGATCGCTGTCACTAGAGATTGGTTTTACCCTTCCTAGAAGTTAATAGTATCACAAAACAAATTCACAGCCCATTTGGTCTGAAGATCTTAACTGCTCACTGACACAGGTCCTGCTGTGCCACTGACCAAGGCCAGAGCTGGTGTTGCTGGGAGAACACAGATGGGACTGTGGTCCCCTCCCTAGACCTGGGGCACCTCACTACCCCTCTCTGGCACTGTCAGCTCTTACATGGCTGTGACCAAAAGACCTCACGAGAATAATTAGAGCAAGAAAGGTTTGTTGGGCTCATGATTCCAGCGGTTCAGTCTGTGGTTGCCCAGCTCCACAGCTCCGGGCCCAAGGTGAAGCGGAGCATCATGGCGGAAGGGCATGGAGAAGGAAAGCAGCCAGGACAGGGCCATCAGGAAGCAGAGAGCTCTGCTCACCAGCCACAAATGTATACCCCAAAGTCACATCTCACAAACCCACCTCCTCCGGCCACACCCCACCTGCCTACAGTTACCTCCCAGCTAATCCATAGGAGTGGATTAATCCACCAGTTAGGTTAAGGTCTCCTAACCCAGTCATTTCACCTCTGAAGATGTCTGCATGTCTCACAGATGAGCTTCTGTGGGGCACCTCATTTCCATAACAGGTTCCCTGTCTCCCATCTGTCAAATGAGGATCTTTGAGGAATGTCCCAACAGCCCTGACGTTTGTGACCCTGGCCTCCATTTCCAAAGTGTCACTGGTGACAAGGCTGAGCACCCTCCCTTATCGCATTTGGATTGCCTTTAGACTCTGGGTTAGACGTAGGCTTTCTTGTGGAAGGCAGTGATTGACACCCAGGTCTCCTCTGGAGCTGATGCTGAGATTTTGCCCCCCACCCACCCGATGGTTTCCAACCCCTCTGACCTCACTGGGCCTGGGGCAGCAGAATAATATAGGGCAGTTTAGGGTCAGCTCCACTGGGAACTTGACATTATCTTCAGGGCCAGGGTTAGGCTAGGTGGTGAATTCAGGGTTAGAGTTGGGGTTGTTTTTAGGGTTGGAATTGGGTTTGGGGTGGGGGAAGAGATAGCAGGAGTAGGGCTGGAGTGAGGCGAGTGCTAAGTTAAGGTTAGGACCTGGGCGAGGTTCAAGGTCATGGTCAGGGTTAGTCCTAAGGTAGACCAGGACTAGGAGGGCTTAAGGTCGGGGTTATGGGGGTCTTCCTTGTAGGGTTATAGGGTCTTCCTCGTAGGGTTATGGGGAGTCTTCCTTATAGGATTATGGGGATCTTCCTTGTAGGGCTGTGGGGGTCTGAAGGCTTGGACCCCAGGGCAGCAGTGTGCCGAGGTGAGGCTGGGGAGTGACCGGCTCCTGAGGGCTCCATCCTCCTCAGTGGATCCACCCATCAATGGATCCAAAATCTGGTGGACTGTAAGGGGCAGGGCCTGGCTGGGGGAAGTGGGTCACTGAGGGTATATCTTGTCCCCAGTCCCTTCCTATCACTCTGTCTGCTGCCATGGGCTGAACAGCTTTCCTCGGCCACGCCCTGCCGCCATGATGCTCTGCCTCACCTCAGCCTAGAAACAGTGAAGCCAGCCACCCCTGGTCGGAAGCTCTGAAACCCTGAGCCAAAATAGACCTTTTCTCCTTTGAGTTGTTTTTATCAGGGATTTTGTTCACAGTGACGAAAACCTAACAGCGCTTTGCACAAGTTAGAATAGCAACTCTTGAGTCACCTCACTACCTTCCATCTTCCAGAATGTTCTATCAGTCGGTTGACTTCTATTTTTCAGAGATCATTTTCTTACAGCCGAATGCAGAGGTCTTACTCAGATTATCTAAATCCATTTTGACCAGCAAAATCCCCACGTGGTCTGCCTCTCTACCAAGATCCAGAACATTCCCAGGCCTATAACCTCTCCCCCAGAAGCCTCCACAGATCTGGTCCCTACCACTAGAGAATGGCTTTATCTGTTCTAGATATCGAAAGACAAAAATCGCAACCAATTTCGTTTGAAGACCTTGAATTGCTCTCATTCGTGATTCTAGAACCAGGCAGACCTCGGAACCAGAACGGACTCAGAGAATTCCAGGGCTGCCCGATGATCAGACAACATTCACGGACAGAGAACAGCTTTATGTGTGGCAGCCTGGTGTCTCACTGTATTTGAACCAGATGACTGGCCCTTGTTCCAAGCCCGAGGCTCCCAGTCAGTCTGCGAACCCAGCCAGGCTGCCGTTCACGAGGACCTGGGCACCAAGGAACCTCCTGGCTCCAACTTAATGAACAATATGAACAGACCCCGGTGGCCTCCTCTGCACAAAATCTCCTTCCAGCAGAATCCGGCTCTTCAGTTTGGTTCTCGCTGTAGTCGACGGGCATTTTTAGCACAAGATGTACAGTCTGATTATTATTATTTTTTTTATGACCAAGGACTTTGTCACTCTCTGTTTAAAGCCTGTCACAATAAATGTCTGAGTCGACCCTGTCTCCGGTTATGACTTGTGTCCTCATACTAGGTCCTCTGCTGAGCAATGTCCGAATTAGATGATTTCTACACTTCAGTTTGCTTTGATGAAGTAGAAGGGGAGCCCGTAGGACATTCCAGCCGTGGTATGTGAGAAGAGACCCTGAGTGTCCCCTCCCTCCTCATTACCTCACCCCATCGGACCAAGATGAGCTGGAGGGGAATGCGAATCAGGGGAGCAGGGGGCAAGGCCCTTATCCAGGAAAGGGCAGGCGAGTTACCCTTGGAAGCGGGAACCAGATCAGAGGTGGCCATGATGGAGAGTCTCCTGGACACAGAGTTGGGAGACAAAAGACCCAGCGAGGTCACTGGTGTCACGGATTTCGGCTTCCCAATTCACCCTGCCTCGCCTGTGAAACGTGGGCCACACGATTGCCCTCGTGATGAGAACCAGGATTTAGGTCTTGCCTCTGAGAGCAACTGAGGCCCCGGAAAACAGCAGGCACCTGGGCAAAGCCAAACAACGTCCTCAAAAGTGCTTTGTAAAGCGGCCACCGTGGGGCACGCCTGCGATCCCAGCCACCCATGAGGCCGAGGCAGGAGGATCCCAAGTTCAAGGCCAGCAATGTCCTAATCAGTTTAGTGAGACCCTGTGTCTAAATAAAAAGTGAAGAGGGCTGGGGGTGTGGCACAGTGATAAAATGCCCCCCACCCCCTGTTCAATCAGAACCAGAAAAAGAAAAAAGTCTTCCTCTCATGGTTTGCAGGGACAGGCTGCGCTGTCACTCACTCCCTAGAAATCTTGCAGAGCTGGCTCTCGGATTCACGGACGGCTCCTCCCTGGTCTGCACCATGCAGCCCCCGCCAGTCTCCAGGCTCAGGTGCCACAGACAGCAGAGTTTCCCCAGTGAGTCTGACGTCCCACCTGGGGACGGCACAGGGAGGATGGGTCTGGTGGAGTCGCCTGAGAGGAGTGACTCCCCAGGGAGCCGCCGGGTCTGCTCTTGTATTAACACCCATCATTCCCTTCCAAAGATGGCTGACCCTGCAGGCCAACCGTGGACACACACCCCAGCACCATACCAAAGAACAGGGGGCCCACCATGACCACCTGCTGCCACCTCTCAGGACACACAAAGCGGGGACAGCTGGTGCCCAGAGAAGTCAGGACTCACCGAACACACCCCTGGGGTCCCTGCAGCTCTCAGCCTCCCCTGAAACCATGCCACTAGTTTTTGAGCAACAAATTAAGAGACATAGTGGCATGTGTCACTTCCAGGTGGAAGCCTGGTCCTGCCTGTCTTCCCCTCCCACGGGGACCTCAGAGGTGACACATACTCAAGTCTCCTTCAGCCTGGATGGATCCCTGGGGACTGTATGGCGCAGAGACAGGCTCCTGCCGTCCTGGCACAAGGATTGAGAACCCAACGGTGCTGTCTAAGCCACGGAAGGTCAAGGCTGCTGTAATGCCTTGGTCAGCAGCGCTCACCCTGAAGACGCAGGGACACAGCAGGCGGTTTGACAAACTCTTTGAAACACTGTGGACAGGCAGCGAGGCTCTGGCAGCCTCCAGAACCACCAGCAAGGTCCCCGACAGATGGGCGGAGTCTGCTCTAAACCCTTTGGAACAGCTCCCAAAGAGTGCATGGAATGCTCCACCTGAAACCCTCCGCTCCGTGCCCCTCCTGAGGACCCCCGCCCAGCTGTGAGCTGGCACCAAAGCCAAGCAACTGGCCACCGGCTCAGCCCCTGCGCTGGCACCTAATAAAGATTTTATGGGCCTGTTCAATTGCAGAGCGATGCAGGCAATTAACCTCCATCGAGGTTTTATGGTGGAAAGATGTTGCAAGCTTGGCCCGGGAGCACGGGCCCGTGCGTCAGCTGGGGAAACGGGGCTGCCAAAGCCCAGTGGGGTCGGCCTGCCGCACAGGGCAGATCAGATGGGCAGCTCGTGGCCAATGGGCTGCTCCTGATCTCACCCAGGGTCACCTGGCGCTGGGCCCCTGGCAAAGGTCCTGGGAAATGCTGGACAGAACTGGCCACCCACCTAGGATGGGGTGATGCTGAATTCACCCCGGAGGGGCGCGGGTGGTCATAAAAATCTGCTGCGTTTGCCTTCCTGGCTCAGTCCTGTCCCCATCGCAGACCCACATCCTCCTCTGGCCAGTGCCGTCTCATGTCCCTCGTCCGAGGGGTGGCTCCTCTTCATGAAGGACACAGAGAAAGAGAGAGGGCCTGGACCCTGGGGAGGCTGAGAATTAGACAGAGGGCGGGCAGCTGGCTGTGCGCCTCCCGGTCCCGGTGATGGCATGGAGCCGCGTTTCCCCAGCAACAGCCTGCCATTGGCCCCGGCCCTGTCTGTCCACCAGCTGACCCAGGTCCTCTCAGTCCCCCTCCCAGGCCGGGGTTCCAGCTCATGGCCGCTCCCCCGCCCCTTCCATCCCCAGGGCCACATTAGGATCTTTGGAAGCTCTAAACATTGGACTCACTGATGCGCGCCACCGTCCCAGCCTGTCACCAGGCAATTCACGACAAATGCTCACACGGAGGCCGGAATTAGAACAGTCATCTTTCTCAATTTTCTGGTTGCAAAATTATGGGCAAACTCCGCAAAAGTGGTCTCTTCTCTGTCTCTGTGAGTGTCTGTCCTGTGTGTGTGGGCCTGTGTCTGGGTGTGCGCCTGAATGGGGGTGTGCCCATGTAAGGGGGGTGTGCCCGCGTAAGGGGGGTGTGCCCACGAAAGGGGTGTGTGCCCACATGGGGGGGGGGTGTTCCCACGTAAAGGAGTGTGCGCCTGAATGGGGTTGTGCCTACGTAAGGGGGTGAGTGCCTGCGTAAGGAGAGTGTGCCCACGTAAAGGGGTTGTGCCCACGAAGGGGGTGTGTGTCCGCGTAAGGAAGGGGCTGTGGGCCCACACTAGCGGGGGTGTGCCCAGTGCCCTCATAAAGGGGTGTGCCCACGTAAAAAGGTGTGCCCACGTAAGCCTATGTCCCTGTTTCCCTGGCCCTGCGTCTGTCCTGCGGGCTTCATCTCCCCCAGAGTCTCCCTCTTCAAAGACCCCAGATGAGCCTTGCCTCCCCAGGGAAAATAAGTCAGGGATGCGACCTCTAGGCCAGGCAGGTTGCTGGACAGGATCGTGCCAGGGAAAGGGGGTGCAGGGTGGGGCACAGAGGCAGGATGGCCCAGAAGCTGGACATGAGGAGGGAAGTCGAGTGGGGGCACGTCCCTGGATAAGGCCCCACCAGAGGGTCAAGCTGGGACCAGGGCCTGGAATCACCACCCCTATCCCTCACCCTCGCCCTTACCTCCGTCACCACGTGCCAGACCTTGCGCCAAGGGTTTGCATACACTGTCCCCTGTAATCCACACGACAATTCTTACCTACCCTTGTTCCCAATTGTGCAGATCAGGACCTGAAGATCAGAGAGGTTAAGTGACTTTCCCAATGTCACACAGCTAGTGAAGTGGGGAGCCAAGATTCCAACCTAGTCTGCCTGCCTCTAAGGGCTCTGTTCATCCTGCTAAGTCTTGCTATCGCCAGAGAGGGACATATTGGGTATCAGAAGTGGTGGCCAAGGATACACCAGAGCCAAGGAAATTATATGAGCAGGCAGTGGGGATGTGGGGAAACCGGAAAGGAGACGGACCCTCAAGGCTCCTCCCTGTTGAGCTCAGCAGCATCTCAGAGGGGAAGCTGGAAGCCAAGCAAGAGACCCCGCCCCCACCATCCCTGGGCTGTGCTCTGAGGTTTGGGCCTCGACGGGACCATCTCCTGCTCTCAGAAAATCTCCACCTTCCAGCAGGACAGAATCGTCCTTGTCACTGTGCCCCCACGAGCACACCGCTCACCCTGAGGGTCTTCCCTTCTCCCCTCCACAAAATAGCAGCAGTAGCCCCCACTCCCACAAGGAGCTCTGCACAAGGGTCACATGGTCCCCAAGGTCAGCCAAACGCAGTGGCTTCCGCAGCCAGAGCAGTAGCCAAGGTGCGTGTGTCCAGGGTCTCCACGTGCTTCCCCAAATCCACACTTTGGGAAGATAAAAGCAAGCACGCGTTTTCCTGGGAGGAAAAGGCCAAGCTGCAGGACTGGTCCCTGCAGGACGGTGGCGGGTGGATGGACCCCTGGCCCTCCTCTCTGTTGACCTCACCTTCTGCTCATCAGCTGCTGGAAATCCTTCCCGCAAGGCCTGCTTGTGCCCACGGCGGCCACTGCCTGGTCTTCTCTTGCTCGGGACCCACCTCCCAGGCAGGGAATTTAGACTTCTCTTTTCTCTCCTTCCAGAACTGGTCAGAGCCGGGCGCGGCGGTGGCACAGAAATCCCAGCAGCTCGGGAGCCTGAGGCAGGAGGATCAGGAGTTCAAAGCCAGCTTCAGCATAAGTAAGGCCCTAAGCAACTCAGGGAGACCCTGTCTCTAAATAAGGTTTAAAATAGGGCTGGGGATGGGGCTCAGTGGTCAGTGCCCCTGAGTTCAATCTCCAGTACCAAGGGAAAAAAAAAGAGAGAGAGAAAGAAAGAGAGAAGGAAAGAAAAGAAAAAAAAAAAAAAGATCTGGTCAGAGAAGGCAGGTCTGCCCTAGCAAGGAGGGAGGAGCCGGTGTCCGTGGGCCAGCTCCGTGCTGGGCAGCATTCACTCCGTCAGCGCCGGGATGCACCAGGCAAGTGAAGAACACCCCAATCCTAATCCAGGGGTCAAGGCCCATAAGATTCAGGTGACCTGTCTCTCAGCTCCCAAACCAGGAAGCCAAGGTGAGAACCCAAACCTGACCCCCGACCAGGGGCTTTCCCACCTCACAGGGAAAGAATGTTCTAGAAGGAGCCTCGGGAGGGGCAGAGCTCCTGCAAGAGACAGTGTGTGGCATGACTGGGAAATGGCCGCTTTCTACCTCCTTAAGCCTTCGCTGTGGGAAAAGCAAACCGGTCCTCGGTGCCTCACAGCTTGTCTGTGAGACCCACATCATCTCCAAAGCTGCAGGGCTTCTCCTCACGGCAGGCAAGCAGGGGGCCCTGGAGTCCAATCCAGCTCTGACGTTGTCTCCCCAGGGGGTCAGCTCCCACGGGCAGAGGGCTCAGTCCTTGGCCTGGCCCTGGGTGGTTCTGCCTGTGCTTCTGACCCGCTGGAGACCCGGGGTCCCAGAGCCCCTCCTCAGGGGGCATGGATTTGCTCAAGCTGCCCGCAGAACTCAGCAAAGCGCCAACTCGCCTCTGCTGGCCTGTTATAAAGGCTGCTACCAGGGGTACCGAGGAAGGGGCGCACCCACCCTCCAGGAACCATCCCGAGTTCCGCTTCCAGAAGCTCCTTTTGGGTTTCACGGAGTCTGCATTGATTCCGTCCTCGGCCATGGATGATCAGCTCGCCCGATAGCCCCTCTCCTCTCCTGACTTGTCTTTCCCACTGAAAGCCATTAGGGGTTGCCAGCCGTGGTCAACTCATTAGCATACACAATGACAGCTCGTTGCAGATTCCAAGGATCCTAGGAATTGTCACAGTGTGAAGAACAAATGTGCAGGCCACAGGCCCATACCCTCACAGGGGACTCCCTGGAGGAGTGAAGACCTGCCGCAATCTGGCTGGGCACAATTCAGGAGCCACTTGTCAAAAGAAACTAACTTTATTTTTAGAACCACACAGGCCAAACAAAACAGCTCCTCAGGAAAAACCCTCAGAGCCCAACTGCCACCACCGGCTTCCCACAAGCCTCTCACCCCTACACCAGCCTCTCCACCTCCCACAATCCTCCTGCTCTTGAGGCCGATTGGCTGGGTCTGTGGGCGGAGCCAAAGAAGTCCCCCAATGAGCAGCTCCGTGGTCTGAAAGGGCAGGGAAACAGCCCAATGAGCATCACCGCAGAGGAGCCAATCAGCTAGATGTTGCTGGGGCCGCTGTGAGCCAATCATCAGCTGGCAGTCTGAAAGTTTGCTGGCAGCTGGAAGTTTGCTGGGACCCCTTTGGCTGTGGCTCTCAACAAAGACCCTCTTGGATCTGACCTGTTCAGACCCCAGCGTGAACATGGTGAGCTCAGGTGTGTTGGTGGAGAAGCAGGGGCCGGGGGATGAGTGTTGTGGGGTCTTCCATCTGTGAGGAGGTCCCTCCTGGGCTTGGGGTCCTGGTTTCCCAAGATATAAAACGAAAGCCGTGGGCTAGACCCGTGGTTCTCAAGCCTCAGCCAGCATCGGAATTCCCTGGAGGACTCGTTAAAATGCAGACCCACCCCCAGAGACCAGGGTCACTGGGATCTGGATTACTGACCGGTTCCTGGGGGATGTGGGTGCTGCTGGCCGCGGTGCCAGGCTGAAGGACTTGCCTGGGCCATCTCTAAGTGCCCCTCGGCTGGACTTCAGGATCAGGTGACTCCCCATGGCCAGGCCTCCCTGAATCTAGGTGTGGCTCTGTCATCTCTAGCTCTGTGACCTGGCAGGTGATTGATCTCTGCAGACATCAGTGTCCTCTCCCGTAAGATGGGCTGGGTGTGAGGATGAAAAGAGCCACTGGGTCGAGCACTCGGAGCCCGACACCTGGTGAGGCGCAGTGTCGCAACTGCTAGGGTTTCCAGTGCTTGATCCACCCACCCGAAAGGCCAGTCAGAAGAGGGTGACCCACTTCCCAGCAGGAAATAGTGGCCACCTTCACTAGGCCACTGTCTCCCCCACTGGGACACGGGAAGCCCAGGAACCTGGTACCCCCCAGGTCAAGAGGGTACCCCCTCCCAATCACACTCAGGGAAGAGTCACTCCTAAGTGCTTCTCAGAGTCACAAGGGCAGGGACATCTGTTAGCTGACAGGATAGGCCACAGGATCCCTCCCTGCAAAAGCCCCTCCCCCAGGGGAAAGAAGCCAGCTGGACCCAGAGCTGAGCCTGTCCCGAGGCCAAGGCTGGGGCAGGGTGGGAGATTCTGCGTTTTTAACAAGCTCCCAAATGTGCCCAGGCTCCCGGTTGGTGGGCCACACTTCCAGTAGCAGCATTTAAATAGCATTTCTTTACAAAGCAAGGCTGGAGAGAGCGTCGGGTAACATGGAAAATGTCTGTGGTTTCTTTTGCATAAAACACCAAACACCCAATAAATGTCCCTCTTGTGCTAGACCATTTCAGATAATGCACCCCACGAACCACTCAATTCCCTCAGGAGGCAAATTCTCTGCTCTGAGATCTATTTTGGTGGGAAAACCAAGTGAGCCTGTTAGAAGCCACAGTGCCCTCCAAGCTCTCACGTGTAACGGAAAGCGAGGGCCCAAAAATCCCTCCCAGGGGACAATCCACACCAGGAGGAAAGACAATGGATGCTCCTTTGTCCCAACAACAAAGCCTTAGACAGCAACATATGTGTTACTTCTGAGTGTACCACAATCTATTGGCTAAATCTGTCCCCCCGCCCCACGTCCCCAGACTCATGCCAGGGTCTGAGACAGAAACAAACGGGTATAAGTTAAAACCAAACTAGCTCTCTTCAAGGATCTAGCATCTCCCACAAAAGGTCTCAAGCCAAGCCACCAAGAGTCCTCTTGAAAAGAGGGATCCAAACAGGAAGGCTTTTTCCATAGGCATCAGTGGCCCCCACGTGACTATGATGGCCCGATGCCCAGGGTGGCCACCCGCAGAACAGGGCAGGCAAATGTGGAGCAGCATCCTTCTAAGGAAGAATCCAACCGGCCAAGGGAGTTGAATCAAGTGACCTCCTAGGGTCCTCAAGCAAGGCAACAGAAACTGGCTGCCGGGGAAAATCACTGTCATAAAACAAGAACATCTGGCCCTGGGAAGTCTGGGGGCATCCAGAGGAGGAGGCTCCAATTTCAGGGCCAAAGAACCGTGGGGAGATCTGTAGCCCTTCAAAGAAGAGATCGGAGGAGTAAGAGCAAGATTGGGGACCAGAAAGAGGGTCTTTAGGAAGCTGACACTCCAAAACAAGAAAAGCAAAAATAGGAAACGGGGTCGTAGTATTAAAGGAGGAAGCTTTAGCATCACAAAGGAAGCCATCACGAGCTACCGGCAACCGTAGAACGGGAGGAGACGTTCACACACTATTCATTGGAGGAGAGGTTGCTACTCAGAGTGCATAAGGAACCCAACTCCTTAGCAAAAGCAGAGAACAAACAAACCTGTTTAAAGATGAGCAAATGATCTGAAGAGACACTTCCCAACAGAAGGTTCCTGAAGGGCCCAATGGGAAGATGTCACTGGCTCAGCGTCACCAGCCATCAGGGGAGTGCAAATCAGAACCACCAGACAGCGCCTCGCACCTGGTAGGATGGATGCTGTCAAAAAGATGAGAGACGACTGTTGAGGGGGGTGTGGGGAAGTGACCTTGTTCTCGGCTGCTGGGATGGAGATTGTTCAGCCATTCCAGAGAACTCAACGACGGTTCCTCAGAAACCTTCCAATAGAGCCACCATGTGATCCAGCCACCCCACTTCTGGGCACCTACCCCCAGGAAGGAAAAATCAGGATCTCAAAGAGACATCTGCCCTCTGCATCCATTGTACCAGTCTCAGTAGGCGAGACACGGGAACAACCCATCTCCAACAGCAGATGAACAGATAAAGAAAACATGACGTGTACTATGCTAAGTGAAACAAGCCAGGCACAGGATGACAAACACCGCAAGATCTCTCTTGTACGTGGACTCTTTCAAACCATCTCATGGCCGGCCGCAGTGCCCCATGCCAGCAATCTCAGGAGGCTGAGGCAGGAGGATCACAAGTTTGAAGCCAGTCTCAGCAACTTAGTGAGGCCCTAAACAATTTAATGAGACCCCGTCTCAAAATTTAAAAAATGAAAAGGGCTGGGGATGTGGCTCAGGGGTTAAGCACCCCTGGGTTCAATCCCTGGTGATAGATAGATAGATAGATAGATAGATAGATAGACAGGCTAACTCACAAAAGCAAATCGAAGGGTGTTGGCAGAAACTCAGGGAGGGGTGCCATGGAGAGGTGATGGTATAAACTTCACAAAGGACACAAACCTCCAGTTCTAAGGAGTCTAGTGTACGACACAGTGATTACTGTTAATAATGCCCCCGATTACTATTCACCAAGGCTCCCTTATCCAGGCGTGGGGCGGCCTCAGGGCTGGAAGGTTGCCCGGGAGCTGGGGGAGGCTGAGGAGCAGGGTGCGGCCCCCGGACTCTGGAACGTGCACAGGGCTCAGGGTCCCCGCACAAATCATGCACAATAGCTCAGGGTGGCTGCGCCCCGGGAGGTGGCTTCCCAAAGCCTCCTCTGCTCAGACTCACCTGCCTTCTGGGGTAGACCTGACCGCTCTGGGGTCCCCGTCAGAAAAGCACTAAACCCGCGTCGCCCTCCACAGTGGAGACGGCTCTGAGACGGTCCCC